CTAATCATAGCCTAAAAATTTTTAAACCCAAAATCCATTAACCCATCAATTAGACCTAAGAAAAAATCTAATCACATCATCAACAAAATTTTATCTTTGTAGAGCTTCATATCTCATTGCTAAAAAAAAAACAAATATTATAGTTTACTAATACTTTCGTATTTAAAAAAAAATGTACAAAGCCAATATATACAAAAGATGTTATTTGCACAATAATCATGAAATAAATTTTAAAATTTTCAAAAAACCGAAAACCGATCCAATCCAAACCGAAAAAAATTGGATTGGATCGGGTCGGATTTAAAAAAATAAATAAACTGAATGGATGATTATATGATCAAACCGAAGGGATCAGATCAGATGAATTTTGCATCCAAAATCGATCCAATCCAGACCGCGAACACCCCTAGGCCGTGTAGAAAGCGATAGGGTCTTCGTGCTGGTGTGCCGCGATAGGGTTATCGCGCTGGTGTACCGCGACAGGGTTATCGCGTCTGTGTCTGCCCTTTATGCCTTTATTCTGGGTCCTATATGGGCTTGGACTTTCATGTGTTTATTGGCCCTGGTTAGGCCTATATTATATCCGGATCAGTATCTAATAAACATTAAATTAATAAATTTAAAAATACTTGATGGAGAAGAGATTTAATAAAGGAAAAGAAAATTATCAATTTATAACAAGTAAAACAAGCCAGCTCAAATTTAATATTTTCAAAAAGCAAACTCAAAAATTTAAATCAGTTCGTTTGAATAAGTGAGCAAAGCTTATTATTATGGTTGGAATAACAATTACAATAAATAAATAATTCTTGATTTGGCAGTAGATACCATAATTAAGAATGCACCAATCTATAAAGAGTGCATTTATATATGATCCATTTCGATTCATAAATATGGTGTCTTCAAGAAGTGATAAACATTGTCTATCATGTAATCCAAAAATAAAAAAGTTGTCTATGATCAATAATTTCTCCAACAAACGAAACGACATGATTCGTGATATTAAAAAAGTACTAACTTTTATAAAAAAAAACAAATATATCATAGAATTTAATTCTGGTGCATTATAAGTGAATTAAAATTTCTTATAATATAATTACTCAGTTATGTATCACTATTAAAAGTTGTTATTTTTGAAATAGTTGTGTGAATAAAATTTATTTGTTTTAATATCATATTAATACATGATTAAATGGCTCTTTCACCCTTTTGCCCCTTATTAATTAATTAATAATCATTTTGCTTCTGATTCGAATCTATCTACCAATCTGCCACTCTTTAATCGACTACCTTGCATTTTTAGTCGATTAAATGGTCAAAACAGGCAAAAATGACTGTTGGGAGATTTAATCGACTAAATCTCCCAACAGACAACAAAGGAAAACAAGTCAGTATGATTTTTTAATAGATTAAGTAGGGAGATTTAGTCGATTAAATCTCTCAACAACCATTTAGTCGATTAAAAATTCAAGTTAGTCGATTAAAGAGGGGCAGATTGGTAGATAATTTCGAATCAGGGACAAAATGATTATTAATTAATTAATGAGGGACAAAATGGTCAAATAGCCATGATTAAATGGTAATAAAAATACATTAAAAGTTAAATTCTTTATTAATATTAATCGTTAATCTCACAAAAATGTGAATAAATAATTTTGTTTTCGTGTTTTTTTTTTCTTCTCATAATATCTTCTCATGAGTTATGTGAGAAACTGTTTCTTACGTTAAAGACACTTAAGTTAGTGAGAATCCTTTCTAATAATAAAGTTTTTTCATACACATAAATTTTGATATTGAATCCAATATGACATGTTTGAAAATTTTAATTTTTTTTTCACTTAAATTAACACATTGATTAATCTGGGGTAACACAATTGGTAAGCGTGCTGTATCCCACGAGAAATTTACGTGAAACAACTTGAAATTAATAATAAAAACTTTGGCACTTTAACCAAAAACAAAAAAAAACTTTGTCACTTCAGGTTCAGAAATGGGTTAATCTCATTTAAATAGATGAGAATTACACACGCACAAAAAAAAAAAAAACACATGTTGATAAATTGTGTTTGCACTTGTGTGTACCCACCAAATCACAAAAGATAATCAGCTTCAAAGCCGGCGTTAATTTTAAATGTGCATATTTAGCAATAAATGATCCTCTAATTCAATACAAAGCCAAAAAGGAAGCTGTTACGTGACTCTCTTTCTCTCTCTCTATGTATTCTTGGTGAAAGGGAAACCCTCCCTATGTATTCTCTTGGAATAGTGATTAAAATGTCACGTTTTGTCAATTTTTTTATCCCAATGTCACGCGAACAATATTTTTTACTAGACTGTCACGTGTCATAATTCGGTACCACTGATAGAGAATTTCGTGGCCAATAATTTTGTGACACGTGGTCATATTGCAGACCTAATTCGCTACCAGTGGTAGCGAATTATGACACGTTAGCTTTTTCCTGCGAAAGTGTGCCACGTGTCAAAAAATCATTCGCAGACATAATATGCTACACAGGGTAGCGAATTACTACCTGCTTGACACGTGTCATTCTTGCTGATTGTGCATTCTGACGTGACATAATTCGCTACACAGTGTAGCGAAATATGCCGCGTGACATTTTGAAAAAATTTACTGTTGGTGTGACAGTCTGGTAAATTTTTTTGCCAGATATGACAAAATGGTCACTCTCCCTATTCTTTTTAGGTATCAAGATTTTAATAAATTTTTAAAGGGTTTATGTTTTCTTATGTTAAATAAGAGAACACTTTTTTTCGATCGGATACATGAACAGTTCCAAATCAACTTTTTACTTCTTCTTTTTTCAATTACAAGTGGATTCCACATTGATAATTATATCTATGGTTAGAGATATGTTTTCTTATGTGACATAAGAAAACATACAACTTTTTTTAATCTAGATTTTGGTAATCTTTCAAATACTGTTGGTGTGGCAGTCTGGTAAATTTTTTTGCCAGATGTGGCAAAATGGTCACTCTCCCTATTCTTTTTAGGTATCAAGATTTTAATAAATTTTTAAAAGGTTTATGTTTTCTTATGTTAAATAAGAGAGCACTTTTTCCGACAGATACATGAACAGTTCCAAATCAACTTTTTACTTCTTCTTTTTTTAATCTAGATTTTGGTAATCTTTCAAATATTTATTAATTATTAATTATTGATTATAGAGAAAGGATATACTTACAACCTATTTTCGTTTACAACATCTTACAATCATATCTTAATCATTAATTTTTGTCAATTTGACAGTTATAATTATTGAGAATTAATAATTAATTAATAAATATGACCTAATAAATTATAATTGTTAAATGAATTCGCTTTTTCTACCGTCAATGTAGATAATTTATCTACATTGAGACCAAAATGATGTCGTTTTGAGGCAAAAATCAAAGTATTTTTGTAATTATAATTTATTTCAGGGTTATAATAATCTTTTTCATTATAATTTTTTAATTTTCAACTCAAAATGACATCGTTTTGGGAGCGAATGTAGATAACTTATCTACATTCACTGAAGAAATATTAAAGACTTGTTAAATTGACAAAAATCAACGATTAAGATATAATTGTAAGAGATTATGAACGAAAATAGATTGTAACTTGTAAGTATAATCTTCCTCTTCATTATAATCAATAAATCGTAAACATATATTATGATTGCACTATTTACCCTAAAGGCAAGGATTACATTTTTAAACATACATTTATTGATTATTAATTGTTGTTAAACTGAGTTTATGACTAATTTATTATAATTCGGATAAAAAATCAATTATTTACAATTAATAATAAATGAAATAACCAATTTATGGAATTAAATTAATTATTTGTTAAACTGATAAAATTAATGACTTATAAATATGAATCAATTAGTTTACCAAAAAAATATATATATATGAATCAATTATTTCACATGACATTATTCCTACTAAGTTAGGATAGAATCTCCCAAACAATAAATATTCTACTAGTAATCAAAATAATAAAGAAAAGCATCTTACAGTAGTTATTAGGAACTCATTACTCACTACACTGGAATTAATATCCTATGTTCATGGTTTTGTAGCCTGTGTTGTGTGCTCGCAATTCAAGACAACTAATTTCAGAGAACCACAACATTTACAATTACATTGGAAGGGAGAAGTGAGCCCGATAACAAGATTAAAAGTTCCGTGCTTTACCCTCTCTCTCAACAACCATCGCAGCAACAGTAACATATGAGACATACCATAATGGACACTCTTAATAAACAAACCCATTAAACCATTATTAAATTGCTTTCCATTCTCGAATCTATGTCCTTTTTTTTTTTTTTTTTATTTATTAAACCAACCCTTCCTCTTCTCTCTCGTTCTCATCATTCAATTCACAAGGTTTCAAATTTTCATTCATGGAGGCCCACCTTCTATTCGCCTCCTCTTAGAAACAAACCCTTTATCCTCTCTTTTCCATCCTTCTCCTCCTTCCCCTTTTTCATTTCAACCTTCATTCCATACCCCATCAATCAAAATCTCTACTTTTCAGAACCCCATTTGGTCTTCTCTTCATTCTATTTGCTATGCAGAGCTCTGTCTGGAAATAAGACAAACACGGAGACTTTGCATGTGTCAGTACTCTGTCCACATCGGTTTCAAAATGATGGCGAATGGAGTCAAGATATTAGCACCTGCATCATAAGCCTCCTGGGGTACTGTATTTTTCTTTTCCCCCTTGAAATTATCATCTAAGTTTTCTACTTAAAACAATTTGAATGTTAAATCTTCACATTAATGAGCATAACTTCTTCTTTTTAGTCAATATTCAGATGCCAATCTTCATTCACACGAAAACAAAAAGAGGTTCTTGAATCACATCACATGTAACGAAACCTTAGCTGATACTCCACATGGATTTTGAGCTTGAGCAATGTATATAACAAAGCTACATTTTGTTGGTAGGCAAAAGCATTTCCTGCTCAGAAATTTTCGGTCTCTACTTCCCATCGTGTCATCCTTATACGGCATTATTGTGATTGTCATCTCAACCATGGCAACCACGATTAAAGGAATCTACAAGAGTTTCAAATACATCACCCGAATATTTGGTAATCTTTGTATCTATTGTACATCATCCTATGAATTTACTTTCCTGTGCTTTTTGTGTTTTGTTATTGTTCAGACTAAGATGGTAAGTGGGTCTTGTTCCAGTTGTGAAGGAGCGTGAGATGGAAATTGGGTACCCGACAGATGTTAAGCATGTGGCTCACATTGGATGGGATGGCCCTCAAGGGACTGGACCCAGTTGGGTATGGAGCATATGGTTCCTGTGCACTTTATCTCTCCATTTATGTTAAACTTTCTAGGATGAAATGTTTCATCATTTTGTCTGTTCTTTTATTGATTTTTTTTTTTCCTCTTTTATGCAGATGAATGATTTTAAAACATCGCCTGATTTTTCAACGTCGCTAGGTAACTTGGATGAACTAAGGGACCCCAATCCTATGGCTCTCACTACATCATGGTCCTCCCAAGGTATGCTTTACTTCTCACTTCTCATATGGCAACATTGATGCCATTAAATATTGATATCATGTATTATTGTGGAAGGGTGCATTCTCCCTAACCTGAATAAAACAAACAGTTAGCCCTTCACGGGTCAACTAGTAAAAAGGGGAATGTGTATTTAATTGTTATTATGTCTCTTGAATATCTTCTAGATAAAATATTGAGGCTTGCAAAAGCTATCTAGATTATTTGCCTCCATACAAAGAGTTTGGCTGTTCTGTCACGAGCAAACTAATCTCCAACAAGGGGAATCTAATGGCTCTTGGCTTTACAATTAACACTGTTTTAAGTGGTCCACACTAGAATTTCTTGAACGAAGTGGTTTAATTGTATCAAATTTAGTGTACCACTGTGCTTGATAAGAAGATGGTTTGTTAGTCTTTAGGTTTTCCATGTGGTAAGCTTCCTCAATGTGATCAAATTAAACCTTAAACAAGAAGAAGATGACAAAACACCACCTAATTCATATTGATTTTAGAGAAAATTAAATGAAGTTGCAAAATCACCATTGATTGTAACTCATAAGAATTATTAAAAAAATTTAACAACTAGGCCTTTCTTGAAGGGGAAAGTATCCACCCCCATGTCATCCCAAGGGTACTACTATATGATGCACTGTGTTCTTGCAAAAAAATATGTTCAATGGTGAGTCTAGTGCCGAGTTTGGAGTATCTGACTCCTGTCACTGCTCACAGTTAAGAAGTGAACTGGAATCAAGGTTGTGATATCCTCTGTTTGAAAGCTGGAACTCTATGCATGGAAGTGGTAGTTGCATTTTCTAAGAATTTAGTTTAAATACAAAATTGTGTTTATAATTGGCAGTTTGTCTTCATGGTCTGAGAGTTCTAATTTTTTCCCTCGTGTTACCTTTGGCTGTAGTCACTGTACAACACCGATTCGCTCTCATGATTATCATAAGTGCAATTATGCAGTTATATGCGAGAATTTAATTGTTTGTGAATTGTGATTATATTTCCTGCCATTTCCAGGGTGAGAATCATGAGCAATAGACACATCATATTTCACATTCTTCAAAATTGTTTGCTGCATGTTGGAATTGTCTGAATGTATATCATATCTTGCTGGGTTACTTAGTGCTATCAATTTATTTATTGTTTGCTTCTATGTTACTTCTTATCTTTCTTAATGACAATTATTCCTTACTTGAAACCTTTGAACAGATTTTGAAGAGTCAACTGGAAGCCAAATGACATCAAGCATTTACAAAGGCATCCCATCTGCAGGGGTTCCTCATGTTCCTAAGAAGCCCAAGCGGAAAAAGACTAAGTCAACTTCCTCTTCTGAGTTGCTATCTGCTTCATCAAGACAGTCAAGAGCAGCAAAGTCAAAGGCTACGTATAGTGAGAGAGACGCAACGCCAATTGCTGAAGTGTAGCAGGTTCCAGATTATAATTTAGTGAGAGAAGAAGATTTGGCATTGTGAATAGAAAAAACCATGCTCTTATCCTAAAACACATTAGGGAAAAACCAAACTACTTGTCTACAGGCTGAGAATAAAACAATGAAAAACCAAAGGTGGTGGTTATTCTGGAGTGATGGAATATGTGATGAGTGTTGGTTTTCTCCGAATTATATGCATTTGTATTGTCAGATTAAAATGAATGGACATGGAAACATGATATACTAATAGATGCCCATTAATTTAACCAGATCACTATGCTAGTAATAGATGATTCTTGAATTATAATGTTATCAGCGCTCTTTTATATAGCTGCAGATTGAAATGCTAGTGGCCAGAGAGTGGAATTTGCAAGTTGTTGGTTTTTATTTTGGCATTTGGAAAAAAAATATGCAATGACCCTGGGCATCCTCTTTGCTCAATGAGATTCATGACTGCACTGGTTGTGATTAATTGTTGAATGAATGAATGTGCATTTCGTTGTATATTCTAGCTTGTTTAGAGCAATCCATTCATAGAACTGAGTCTTTGAACATGCACATAAATCGCCAAAATATGGAATTGCCGTGGCTTTTGCTGTATAACCGAGAAACTATGAGGAACCTGGTAGATTTCATTTGTGCAATCCGGTGTGTTCATGAGGAAAACTGATTAGAATTGCTAATTTCCCCTGTCAAATCTTTGAAAAATACTGATATATTCACTGGCTGATTTATCTACTGAGTTGATATATGATTTTATTTTGGGTTTAGATATATAGGAGATAACTTATCTGAACCTAAAATGATGTTATTTTGAATGGAGAAAAAGATATTTTTATAATTTTAAGTTATTTTAGAGTTATATTAGTTTATATTATTTTAATTTTTTAACTCAAAATAATATTATTTTAAGCTCACTCGAAATAATTTTATTTCCAGTAAATGCGTCTTACTCTAATTTTTTAAAGTACAATAAGATCATGTCTACAGCTACTCGTGCATTCCTCCATAAATTCATTTTGAAATTTGATGTTAGTTAATAATTAGTTCAGACAACGCTTTCTTTCTTTCTTTTGCCGTCATAAATAAAATTTTTTGGAGAAAAAAGTTAAGAGTTGGGTAAGTTCTTTTATTACGAGATGAATGTGTTGCAGCAAGATCAAGCTGCGTTATCTTTAAGACAGCTGGATGCATGAAACCGCGCAGAACCTCGAAATTTTTAAGGCGAAGTTAGTTTTGTTTTTGAGAATTATTTTTTTTATGTTACATAAAAAAAATTATTATTTCCTACGCTCACAGTTTTCAAATGGGTCTTACAAATTTTTTTTTCTCTCACCTTCAATTTTTTTCTTTCTCTTAACTATTGTTTGAGTATGAGATAATACTTCTCTCATGCAACATAAGACAAGTATTACCCTTTGTTTTTACCCTTTTCTTTAAAGAAAGTTATTTCAAAGGATCATTCCCTCTTTGCCTCAGCCCAAAGAAGCAGAAGAAACAGAATATACATATTATTTAAAAGATTCCTAAGACATCTAAAAGGAAGAAGTTGAATATCTTGGCACTAATTTAAAAAGTAAATTCAATTTTTCTTGAAAGAAATCTGGGAAATAATAATAAAAAAGGTAGCCTATTTTGTTTGTTAAAATTTGAGCTACTTATACTATATATCCAAAGGCGTTAATAGCTCTCTGGTTACTTGCAGATCAGAAAATTTGCAGTAACACTTACTTTTATCAGGATCCGATTCCGTATCCTTTTTTTTTTTTTAAATTTCAGGATCCGACTCCGTATCCTACTATAAAATATTTGCCACAAATTTTTTTATCAGCAACACTGACAGCAGAAATGAGAAACCCATATGCAAAAGGGTTATCATGGAGTTCAAAAAACATGTCAAACTCTAATGATGATGAGTTTTTGATAATTTGTATTCGGTTATAGGTTGATACTTTATTTTTATTATTGTATAAAAGAAATGTATTGTCATCCATTTATTTACTAATAAATTTGTATAGAAAAATTATACAAATTTACTGAGTCGTTGATCAAATATTTTTCTGCGCCAGATTTATTTCTTGCTAATCACAGTAATTTTTGTTCCATCTTACTCAAAAGAGTATGCGCAAATAGAAGCCGATGGGAGGGTGTAGGTGTATCACCCTAAGGAAAATTTAAATGGCCATTAGTGGTATATCCCTCCAATTCCATAGCCGACTTAGAGGATGGTGGTTTCATCTTCACTAATTTCATCACTAACATTCTCACTCTCATTTCCTATTATGGAAACCTAGTTTGAGGTTCGGCCTTCTACCATTCACATGCATATATTGTAGGCCAGCTTTTGGGAGTGGATGCTTTCACAATTTCTGGACGCCATCTAACGAATAGGGACACTCGTTGAAGTGTCACTTTCCTTGCTTATTATAATGATTCTATTGTACCTGCATGTGGTTGCGATCTAACATAGAAATTGTAATCTCCCTCCTCATGCTCTAGTTGTACAACATATTAAGTTTCTTTGTACTTAACTTATTTGAATCTTTATTGTAGTTAATTGAATGGTATTGACAAAAATTTGGAAAATTTTTGTGTCATGTCAAAATTTATTGTTTAATTTAATAAAAATTTAAAAAAAAATTATATAACTTAAATTTAATGTTAATATGATTTTTGTCTAGTAAAAAAATTAAGAGGAAGAACTAAAATTTTCAGAAAGAAATGCTTAAGATAATATTATCGAGAATTTAGAAGTGAAGGTTTCTAACTACTTCGGAGAGGAGGAGGAGGTCTTGAAGATTGACGAATCCTTCCACTTGTAAAAGGAGTTTTGTTTCTGTTACTATTATGGGTGCAATTATGATTTTTATATGGAGTTTTCATTTTAATTCTCGAATGAATAGCTAAACCCTATAGCTAAAACTATGGTGGATTGTGTAATTGATTATTGATATTTATATAATTTCAATAGAACTCGGTAGTTTTTTTGTTTTTTGTTTATGTTGGTTTGTTTTATTATGCTAATTGCATGTTAAGATTTGATCTTCCTTAAAATGTGTTGGTTGTATTAAGAATTCAAGTATGAGTGGTAAAAAAATCCTACGTCAAGAAGAAATGGACTAAGCAGGGAACAACATATAAGTAAAAAGATCCATAAACTTAATGTCTTAAGGTTTTTGGTTAATATATGGTGTCGAAGTCTCTTGTTGTAATTTTGTTGCTTAGATTCATTTGATGTGTGAATGAAAGTCTCCCCTAATTAGGACCTCCATAACTGTTGCCCAACAATGGAGTCAATTGTAGGACTCATCCTTGTGGAGAAGATTATTGAAAATTTAAGTATAAGTGATAAAAAAAATTCATATTGGGGGAGGAATGAGCTTAAACATAGTACATATAAATGAAAGAATCCATAAAATCAATGACTTAATTTTTTTGGTTGAGATATAATATTGGATCTGTTATCGTGGGTTTGTTGTGTAGGCTCATCAATTATAATTGTTGAATGACCAAATCTGAATTTTTTCGGTCAATTGGATTAACTAATCAGGTTAATATTAACTTGTTTGATCTCAATATTTTTCTAAACTAATTTCTTATAATTGACCATATAGGAGATTTTGATTAGGGGATATATTATAAGTAAACGGAATAGCATTGATTGATAATAGAATTAACAGATAATTCCCTTATGAAAAATTAACTACTAAATTATAAAAAATTGGGAATTATATACTTAAACATAAGTGAATTAAACCTTCGTCCTAGACATCCGCAATAGATAACTCTTTTCATTACTTATAAATCTTTGACTATTTAGTTGCTTTCAAATTAATTGCACAAGTATTTCTAACTCAATTGTCTAAGAGTCTTGCAAATCTAACAATTATTGATTAATGTATGAGAGAATGATATTTGGTACTCCAGTTATATATTACTCATATAAGGTGCATTTACGTTAAGTATATTTTTATTCGTGTCAATATAGCTTCTGTAATTATTTGGACACAAAAGATGGTTGCTTAATTGGCCAAATTAAAGTACTTTCTTGTCCGTACAAAATTACCCCGCACTAGCAACTGTGTAGCTATTAGTTAATATAAACTCTCATATTGCTTTGGACTACAAAGATGGGTGGAGTGCTAGAATCACTCTGTTCAATTGGAAGCAAATTAATTTTGAGAATTTGTTTGCTTCACGGAAATTCAAGAAAAATGGAACAATGAATTTCCAGGAATGAACTTGTAGATATATAGTTGAAGACAATGGAACAAACCCGAAGGTGCACAGGAATCAACAAAATCAATTTTCCTTGACAAAATAACAGACACCGAAACAGAAATGTTGGTCATATATAGTTTTGGCTTTTCTAACGCGTGAATCAAATACTCGACGATTAGGATGCCATTGTCAAGAAACAATTCATGTAGACATTTTATGTATCTGCCTGAAAATCAAAATTCAAATTATGAATTAATTTTCTTTAGGTAATATTGTTAATAAGTTAATTCATTTATTTAGGCATTTAGTCTTTTTTCTGCACATGAAGTTTCTGACTTATGATATGATTGATGCTATTGAACTCACTAAAAAGTTTGAGGCTCGTTACTGCTTTTACTTTCTGAATCTGTGCATCAAATTAATGATAAAAAAAAATGAATGGTTTAAAATTTATTTTGGAGCACCTACTCAACTTACAAAGTGGACCATTTGATTTCCATATTTAAGATCTATTATGATATCCAATTACAAAGCATTGAAGTTGAGTGCCAGAAGATGGTTCGTAGGAATATAAATGCATAACTACACCATTGAAGCCAGAAGCAAAATTTATCTTATCCCTAAAGATTCTTCCCAAGGATTTTCCTCTCAAAAGTGCATCCAATTAATTGAAGCATGGGTTAATCAATGCATGGAATTGAGGGGACAATATTTGTAAGACTAAATTAAAGCTACCATATGGAGCAGCAATGTATTATGTGTAGAGTTAAGAAGAAACTGAGTAAATGGCTGGTTGTTTTGTGAATACGAGAACAAATTTTGGAGTGAGAGTACTTCTCGCTCTTATTAATGGTTCCTCCAATGCTGGCTCATGAGGCTTCAATATTCTATTTCTGTACCAACCACATTAAACATATCAAA